CTCAAATGAACAACCTTTTCATTTTATGTGAGTTCTCCTGAGCAGGGAAAACCGCTTTGAGCTTGAAAGGAGGAACACTCACGTGGCCTTGAGCATCACTCGGTAATCTATCAACAGATCTTCTAGTTCAATTATGTGTTATTAAAAATATAACCCCCCTCAGCCATTCCCTATTGTTAAAAAAGAACAAATGCAGCCAATTACATCCCATTATCGCCATTTCACCAACAGAGCAGTTAATCGGTGACACCATGAGTCTAACTTCATAAAACACAGGTGTCACAAACCTGTCTGTGTCCTAGGCACTATGAGTCATTACTTTTATAACATGTCCCAGATTTTTGTTGTCTTCATTTTCCTGTGTCCCTCTTGACACTCTGAAATAAGTCCTTAGTCCCCTTCACTCTATTTACATGATTCTTGCAAAATTAAACCACTGTTTTTGAAAGATATGGCCTGTAGTCTGATTTCCTTTAAAATATTTTTTCTCTATTCTGTGCATTTTTTTTTTTTTTTAATATAGGGCTTCTATATACCCTTATTCTAGTAAAAGTACATTAGTATGTTTCCCTGGACAAAACACCTGAAAATATTATATAAGGTTCTTCAATACAAAAAGAGATGGTACTCAATCCCATATCAGGGCAAATTTGTACTTCTGCATTATAGCATAAAGCTATCCTAAAATGAGCTTATCCCAATTTTGGGTGATTCTTCATGCATACCAGGTTGCATAGTGTCTGCCTTCTTCCTACTACTGGTGAAGAGGGCATGATAAAAATAAAAGCAGTTAGCTAGCACAGAGCACTCCAGACTCTAGCCATCACCGGCTGCCCAGTACAGTAGCATAGCCTGGGGGCTTCATATTTATTCTTGGAAGACTTCACCTTGGTGTAACCCACACAAATGTTTCCTCATCAAATACAAGGACACATAGGCCATACAAATGTTTCTCATCAAATACAAGGATAGATAGAATGCTATTCTGTTCGTTAAACCATTAACAATGATTAGTAAGGAACTTATAAAAAGGAGCTACTGTCCTTGAAGAAGAGAAACATCCTGAAACATAGAAGTTCGTTAAAATTGTTTACCATAAATCAGATTAATTAGATATTAGAGTGTCCTTTGTAGGAACTATTCTAATAGTAAAAATCACACCCACCGCTTCAAAGATCCCTGCCTGAGTAAAGACCCTCACCCTTTGAGCTTGTGCAGAAAAATTAAAACCCACTATAACTTTAAATGAAGACGAGGCACGTTACTAACCAATGAGGCATAGAAGTGATAAGCAACTAATAGTCATTATAGTAAACATGTAATCCTGTAGTCTGAAGTGTATAAATACCTTGAAGTTCTTTTGTGTGGTGTGCTAGCTTTGTGGCATAACCCCCTAGCACTCATCTTTGCACAAATATAGAATAAACTGATATCTCGGATCTGTGTGCAAGACTGGCTTCTGCACACCAGGTAACAAACCCTGTTTGAGGCACAACAATGGGGCAGGTAAAGGAGTTCAATTACAGCACCAGCATACCTTTGCAGTCACCTTCTTCACCAGCTCCCATCACTCTGGGCTAACAGATGAGGGATAAGCCCATGATTTTATAATTATCTGACCCATAAATTTACATGTATAACTGCAACTATATTAATGGACAACCATGTTCATGTGTTGAGGGCAGCTTCTGTGGAAGCTGAAGATGACAGTGTTCAAATGATGTCATCTGTTTTCAAATGAAGTCAGCTGGCCAATGTCACTGCATACAAGGATGTAATGGAAATCTCAGAGGTTTCTCAGAGCATCAACCACCTATCTTCATATTTCATTTGGGCTGCTGGAGCCAAATTCATTGCTGGGTTACCTTGGGTTGCCTTCCATATTCAGCACACAAGGAATGGGAAAGTGTGGCAGAATACATTATTCCCGATTCTACCTGAGTCTCAGACTGGACTGTGTGCCACACAGCCATAACTAATAGAGAAAACACACAGTGTCAGGCTGCTGTAGAGCCTTTCACACACGGCCTTGTATTGCCACCTTCAGACCAAACCAAGACATGCCCTGTCACTCTCTCTAGTATTAAGCAGCCCATCGCACCTTTAGCGGCACTCCAGCCCCAGCCAGAAGCACTCAGCCCCACAGTGAAGGTGAATCCCAACCACAGCTCAACTTCAGACCCAGACTGAACTTTGCTTCCCTACAGTAACGGCAAAGGAAAGCAGAAGGCCACTTGCGATGCTAGGTCATTAAAAGACGTGTCCAAATTTGCAAAGTCCTAAATCAGGTTATTTTATTTTGGAAGGAAGAGCTGTCATGGAATACCCCATCCTGAGTCTGGCTCTGTGGAGATCTTGTGAGTCCTCTTCCACTCCTAAGGTGTCAGGCACTAATATTATGGTACACTGGTTAGTGCAAACTAGTGAAAAATGAGATTAGCATTTTTAGAGGAACCTTAACATGACCTTTTGAGCAGCAATTTTACAACCACAATTATAGACATAATAATTGTGGTGAAACTAATTTGAAGAACAAATGATAGCATTTAAATGCATGATCTACAGATACAATTTGACATAATATACGTTTTTATATGAGCCAGAAGTTTCTAGCAGATGTAAACAACAGAAACCATAAATTAGAGGACAAATTAAACACCTTTTGGTTTTTATCACCCTCATACTCAAGATGAACACTGATGAGGTCAATTCTAGCTATTTATATTTTTGATAAAAAAATAATTATTTTATTAGCATATAGGACCCTATATTCTCGAATTATTGAGGTATCAGCTATATATTTTCTAACCTAGTGCAATCTTTATTAATTATTTCTGAATTTTACTCTGTTCTAAATTCCTCTTCAAAGCAGAAATACTGAAACACCAAATCCTATTAATCTCTCATGCTCTACTGTCTTTGCTCTACCATTTATTCAACCTCCAGCCTCCAATTCAGTATTACTAACATCTTTTATAGAAAGCTTTATAGTTTTAATGTATTTGATTGGCATATGCATGTAAACTAACTGGGATTGGTTGGAGGCAGAGGACCATGGCATTAGCACAATGACGTATTTATCAAATATAACCTCCATATAGTCAAGCTCATCTCGCAAGATACACGTAACAAAAAATAAGATCTGACAAGACTAATTTGACTCTTAGCATAAAGTACTGTTTATACAGTGCAAGACGGCTAAACGTCCATGCTCTCTTATTGCTATAACATGATATATTTTTAGTAATCCAGTAAAATCTGTCTACTTCTGTGTTAACCAGTCTCTGGGGATTTTTTGTTAACACTTTTGGTTTGGTTTGTTGGGGGTTTTAGAGCAAAAATAACCAACAGCCTATCACGGGTTCAGTGACGTTAGACCAGATTTCTTTAAGGCCCAACCTAAGCCTCAAAACGTACTGTTTTGGTGGACAGCTTTCAGCCACAAAGCTCTCGTTTGCGACATACTGTGATCCGTGCAGCTCATGGGAAGACCCCTCAGCTTCCTCCAGTGTTCTGGAGAGCCGATCCTCCAGAGAAATGATCATGTGTGACATTTTAGACCTCAATATCCTCTGTGCATCAGGGTTATGGTAACTTTGGGAACCTGTGTACATAACCTCTAACTACTGCTACTAGTATGAACTTATTAAGTAGTTGGTTCTTTGAAAACTGTAGCAAGTTCCTGTGTCTATATGTATCCACAGCGTCAAGAATAATCAGCAGATTCTCTGAGGGGTTCTTAGTGCTGTCTCAACACGTATTTTTTCACTGATTAGAGACAGGAATTTAAAAGCTGACCTTTGACCAGCAAAAGACTCAGTAAGGAGGTGGCTGGGACGCGCAGTGTCTCCTAGAGCTTGGGACGTGATGGAGAAGTGGAAAGAATGGGAAGTTGTGAGCAACAAGATTAAAAAGCCAGAAATAACAGAAGAGGAATTTTTAAAGGGACTGGCAGAAAGGAGAACATGGAGGACACTCAGGAAGCCCTGTCTGGGGAGGGAAAAGGTGGACAGGCTGTTGTGGTGGAGTCTTAGTGCCCTCCAACTTTCCTTGGCGTTTATCCTGGAGGTATGAAAAGCAATGGTGAAGTGTAGAGCACTGAAAAAAAAAAAAAAAAATCCCTGTTAGCTTATATATACCATATCCCTCAGAGAGATTTGCAGCAAAAAGGCTCAAATGCTTTGGCTGAAATGCTGGCTGTTGTGGGGCAAGGCAACGGATGGTATTTCAAAAAATCTGGGGTAGATATTTTAGGACTACAGCTGGACAGCAGGATACAGTTTTCAGGGGGAACTGTCACAGGGGGGTTCTGCACCAGAGAAAAAAATGCTTGAAATCGCTGAGAAATTTGAAAAACAGTATGAAAAAGCTGGAATCGGCTCAGATTTGCGACAAATAGAATGTACCAGAAGGGACTCAGGGACTATTCCTCCCTAGGGGCAGCCAGACAGGAGCGCTCCGCTCCCCGCCGCAGCCTGCCCAGCTGCTACATTTTCCAGGAGGAGCGGAGGGGAACTTCTAAATCATACGAACACCATCCGCTTCCAAACGCAGGCACCGCAACAGCACTGAGCGCGCCCCGAAGAGGGAGATGTTTTTTGTGAACACGGACGCGACCCGTAGGGCCGCCCCTGCCCCTCACGGGGAAGTGGGGGGGTGTCAGGCAGGCGGCGCTCGCGGCCCCCCCCCCCCCCCCCCACATACATACACTCTCTCTCTTCCTGCCGCCGCCGCCGCCGCCGCCGGGCGAGGCGGGCTGGGCGCGCGTGCGCAGCCGCGGCAGTTGCTGGCGGCAGTGGCAGTTGCTGGCGGCAGTGGCAGTTGCTGGCGGCAGTTGCTGGCGCGCTGAGGCGGGCCGGGCGCTGGAGGCTCCGATGGATTCTCCGCTTCCCTCCCAGCCTGCCCGCCCGGCTTCGCCGGGTAGCACACGACCCCGGGCAGGAGAGGCGGCAGGAGAGGCGGGGGCGGCGGCGGGGCGGCGGCGGCGGCGACATATGTTTTGCGTGTGTGCTTCCCCGCTCCCGAAATACCGCAGACTGCCATGTCCGAGACCTACGGTAGGAACTGGGGGCGGGCGGGGTGGGGGGACCCTCCTCTTCCTCCTCCTCCTGGGGAGCGGGCCCGGGGCCGAGCAGTCGCCTCTTGAGGAGCGGGGCGGCGGCGGTCCGCTGTGGAGGAAGGCGGCGGCGGGCGTGAGGAAGATTTTGTCATCTAGTCCCTTCTTTTTGATGTAACAGCTACTAGAGAATAGCGGCTTGTGTACTTGGTCTTGTGACAAAAATGTGAGTGCATACTAAAATCTAGCTTTTTTTTTTTTCCGTCTTGCAATATTCAGATTTCCTGTTTAAGTTTTTGGTCATAGGAAACGCGGGAACTGGAAAAACCTGTTTGCTACACCAATTTATTGAAAAGGAATGTAAGTATATGAGCACAGTGAGATTTCTTCATTGCTTTGTGCTACAGATGAAGGCTCTGCCTACATGAACATCTATTCTTTGTATGGAAGTTCCTGTAATTCTCCTACTTGTCTATATGAGGATTTTGACTGAGAATTATGTTCAGAACCATGCTATAAGTCTTTATTGCTCACTGTGTTTGCCTCTAAGCACAAGCATGATATTGAGCAGTATTCTCCATTGCTCTCAAATATAGCAGGATATTGATGAAAATAGACTATTTTTTTGTGAGAATTACATCTTGCAGCTACAAGCTTCCCTAGACATACAGTAGAGACTCAGATCTTTTAGAAAAAAATACTGAGCAGATGAAAGAAAGTTGAATTGTTTGAGTAGATTTAGAAACCCTGTAGTCTTTCAACATAGACAATCCATGTTCTTTGTTAAGGACTGTGTTCTATAATAAACACTGGTAGAGACTCCATTGTAGATATTATTTGGAGATTAATAGATGATATAAAAGAAGATTTCCTATTGGGTGGTGCATTTAGCATCATGATTAAACAAAAATAATATGCATTTAGAAACCTTTGTAAAACTAAGATAACTACTATTTTTCTCAACCAAATGGTAATTTGCGTTATCTCCTAAGGATAATAGTGTGTAATCACTGAGGAACATGGCATGATCCTGTGATTGAACTTGAACTGTGGCCTTGCTTCCCATATGGGCAGTTGTATATTGCTGAGAATCTGTGATATCAACAGTGTACATAGAGCAAATATCTTAACTTCAACCTTTAAAGAAGAAGTAGCTCTTGCTTATTTATGGGCAGGACTGTGTCTTTTTGTGTTCTGCTTTTCTGTGAATTTTAATTTTAAATTGCATCAAAGTATTAGAAAACACAGTTGGGAAAAAAGTGTACAAAAGTTATCTCGCCATTTATTAATGTGAACAGGGAATGATTAGATTAAGGCAGGCCTTTCTAGCAGTAATTTTGAATTGAATAACCTGTTCAAAAATTGTAAGAATGTTTATTTCTGCACAGTGGCAATAGACTTCTGAGTGTCACTGAATTTGATGGTTCAGGAAGTAGTTTGTAATTTGAACACTGATGTGTTTTGATTATACCTAAATTGGTTTATGTAAAAAATAATTATTCACTCTATTTTCTAAATAAGTCTGGGTTTTTTTTCTTTTTTTTGTAGTCAAAGACGTCTCAAATGTTACTATAGGAGTGGAATTTGGTTCAAAGATCATAAATGTTGGTGGTAAATATGTAAAATTGCAGATATGGGATACAGCAGGACAAGAAAGATTCAGGTACTGTTTTCAGTCATTTTACTGTTTGTTATTAAATTGTTGGTGTGGGTGTTGGGTATTATTTCTCTCTGCTTGTAAATTTCTTGGTCAGCAGAAGTGTTTGTCTGCCTTCATGTTATTAACTGGGCCAGATCTTCCGACTTGGACATAACAACATAGATCCATTGATTCCAGTAAAGCAGTGCTGCCTTGCAGGACCTGAGGTTCTGCCCTTTCATTAGGTATTTTCTGTGATAGTTAATGTACACGAGTAGAATATGTATGTGGTTAAAATTTTGTTCACTAGGCAAACTCAGAATAGTTTTTTAACTAACCACGTGTGCTTAACTTTGTCTTTAGAAGATCTTCTGTTGATTGGAATAAATTGTAAATTGCTCAATCTGCATGAGAACAATTTCATAGTATTTTATTAGAGGGAAAGAAATCAGTTGTCAGGTTCACTTGGCTAAATACGCTTCCAGAAAGACTGAAATCTCTTAAGTTTCTTAAGGAAAAAGCAATGCACTTGTCAGATTAAAACCACTTTTAATGTTGTCTTTTAATTGTGTCATATCAGAGGCATAGGTGAAACTCAGTAAAGATCTCATGTATTCCTGAGTACATTCACCATCACACGGGACATCAGTTTTTCATATCTTTGGGAGGTGGAGTTTGTGTGGGAAGTTTCTCTGGTTTTAGAGGCAGGGACAGTGGTTAACAAAGGTGAGTGTGGTGGTAGAACCTGAGTAATAGGCAGCAATCCAAGTAATCTGTAGATTTGCCTAGTCACAGATGTATCCAAAGGACTTGTCTAATAGAAGAGTAGGCAAAGCTGGGCAGTGCTGTGTAGTCTCTATTAATGAGATCTCTTCAGTGTGTTGGCCAGATATCCTGGGATTCTGAGGAGTTTGGAAATTGTACTTTCAGAGACTTGTGCAAATTCTGCTCTTTCAAGTTCAGAGTATTCACAGATTTGCAGGTTGTTCTTGTTCTTGTTTTTGTTTTTGTTTTTTTTTCTTCATATTGATTTTTATAATCTATCCAATTCTTTTGTTCTTAAGGCTTGTCACACCTCTGTGTGCTGATCAGGTTTCTTCTTCTCCCTCTACCTTTTGAAGGATGCTTTGCTTTGCTTTCATTGCCTCCTTCTCTTCAACTTAAGGAGTGTTAAATTGTTCAATTAAAACAACTTTGCTCAATCTTTCCTCAATGCTGAGAGTTCAAACATAAGTTAATTATGCTTTTTTTGTGCCAGAGATACCACCATCAGCTTCTAGTTCTATATCAGGCCATACAGTATGATGCTGTGTAGCTTCAGCAGCACACAGGTCATAATGGACTTTGAGAATCCTTGGACAGCTATATTTAGTGAAAGTGCTTTGTCAAAAGTCTAGTTGTAAATAGTCTGCTGCTGCACAGCTGATAATGTCTAAAATATAAATTTTATTTTAAATACGTAAAGTAGAATTCTGTCTCATAACAGAGATTGCATTATATTAGCCATTATATTGAAACAATGAAGATGATATAGAAATGTGCATCTGTAATTTTATTTCAGTTCTGTAACAAAAAATTACTGTAGAGGAGCTGCAGGTGCTTTGCTTGTCTATGATATAACCAGGTAAGAAAGCTAGCAACTCTTTTCCTTATAGACAGTTGGGGTTTTTTGCTTATAGACAATCAGATACAATTAATGCATAATGATTCCTCCCCAAGTACCTAATCCTCTAATGGAGAATGGGCAGGAAGAAAGGAAAATAAGTGTAAAAAGTACTTCTGGTTTTGTGCATATTTAAGTTTTAGAACTTGCTTACATGAGATACTGTGAGTGTCATAAATGTAAACAGTCTCAAAAGGGTTAGACACAAGGGAATTGGCCTACCAGTAGCTGTTTTGATCGTGGTGGGCTACATGCAACCACTGGCCCAGGAAGCCGTGCAATAGCAACTAAAAGCAGACTTAGCCACTTTTAATCAAGGTGGTTCACCCCTATTTGTGGAAACTATGTATTAGTATGCTGATATAACAGGTCATCTTCTGGAGAAGCTAGCTCTACCTACACATTCCATAACTGTAGCCCAAAATTCTGTTCATCTCTGCATCTTTTAACATTTGAGTATTATAGGCAGCCAAGAGAATACCTTACCGTACACATTTCCACACTTTTCCTGGCCGCCACTGACTGATAATTGTCAGATAAGTTTTATGTTGGTTAATGATGTTTGCTAGATTTGTTGCCTTTTTTTTTTTGTCCTGAGTGGACTGTTCTCCTCTGAGCAGTCTTGAAAGTCTTTTTTGGTCTTGGCACAAGTGTAGAATTGAGTGCCTGAACTTTCACAGAAGTAGTAAGTTCTTAAAATCTTACCTGAACTCAAGTATCAGTTGAATTCCATGTTAAACAATAACTCATTGTGTCATTTCAAAATTTCATGTATAAAAGGCTGAAACTAGTGCTTAGAATTTTAGCTTTTCACATTAACAAGGTATTTTATAATTGTGTGTATTTGTATATTGTGGTTGATTTAATTTGCTTTTTAAAAACTTTTCAATAGTTTCATGAAAGAACTCGATACTCTTCCCAGTTCATAGCTGGTATATTGAGATGTATAGGTGACTTGCCTGGCTAGCAGGAATTTGTTGTGTGTTACAAATACAGATTTGCCTTCTGGGTTTTAGTTCAATGATCTGTTCACAAGAAATCAGTATAGTCTAATGAAGGATGTCATTTTCTACATAGCCGGGAAACCTACAATGCGCTTACGAATTGGTTGACGGATGCTAGAATGTTAGCAAGTCAAAATATTGTGATAATACTGTGTGGAAACAAAAAGGATCTTGATGCAGATCGTGAAGTTACTTTTTTAGAAGCGTCCCAGTTTGCACAAGAAAATGGTAAGTAGTACAAAATCTTCATGTAGCATTCAAGGATGCTTAATACTTAAAACAATTTTTTTTTTTGTGCAGTTAGGGAGTACTTTGCCCAGTGTACCTTAAAATATCTACAGAAGAGAGAGTTCTGTCAGTACATGGGCCATAGAGAGAGGACAGTGCCTGCAGTGAAAACTGCATGTACTATTTAAGTCGTCTTACCAGTGATTCTTCCAGTCACAGCTGCTACTCAAAGAATAGCTGCTATGAGGAGATATGTTCCCAAAGGAATGTAATACAACTTCAGGTCTTGCCTTACCTCCAAAGGGCTGAGAAGGAAATGGAGAGCATGATTTCCTGTTTTTTAGCATCTTACAGATTCTATAGATCATAGACAAGGTTGGATGGGGTGCGCCGCAGATGGAAGCAATGAGTTTTACTCATAGGAAACAGAGTTTAGTGTGTGGCATGGATCCCAGAGGACCTTTACCTGGTCTGTAGTGTTCAGAATTTCCAGTGTGAGGACACATTTCTGTGGCAGCTAAAGCCAGTCTCAGTCTGAGCTTCTGTGCTGCAGTCCTGCCATCAGTAAAATCTGGGTTTTTTTTTTATAAATCAATTGCTAGTAGTGTTTTATACCAACTGTGGCTACTGGCTGTCCTTTTGCATATAACTTTCTACTAATGTGAAACCATATCAAGTTCTTTGGTTTCATGTGCTATTTCGTATGCACAGCCCAGGTTATTATCTTTGGATTCCAACTTCTTAGAATTAATATATAAATTTCAGAGGAAGTTTTTTGTGATTTTTCCTGTCAAAAGCTACTTTTCTAGACCATACTATTTGACAATAGTTCTCCTTAAGAAAATTTAAATCTATTGTTCCCAGCTGTCATGCTTTGAATTACTATATCAGATATTCCTGACTTGTTTTGAGATTTTTTTTCTGGTCTCAAATGCAGAGCTGATGTTCTTGGAAACAAGTGCACTAACGGGGGAAAATGTTGAAGAGGCCTTTGTACAGTGTGCAAGAGAAATACTCTATAAAATTGAATTAGGTAAACTGAGATTTATATTCTTTTAATGTGTTTTTTTCCCCTGAAAATTAAGAGTACGTGTGTAACTATCATCATTCAAAGTTCCGTAATAAAATTACCCCAGAGAATCAGAATTTCATCGTGCTAAAATAACCCATTTAGTTTATAGCTGCTTCCCATATGTTTTAATAGGAAAGGACATCCAAGTCAGATCTGTGTATCTAAAAGGGGTGGTGGTGTGAATTATGGATGTTTTTACATGGTGTTTACCTTAAGTATCAGCTCTGAGTGTAGGCTGTGCATTCTGTGGGTTGCTATGTCCCTACAAACATCAAGCCTGACATCAGTTTTAGCAATGCAGACTAAAAACCTAGTATTCAGGGCAGACGTAACTTTTCTGCTTCTCATGCAGCAGGAAATACAGTCAAGAGAATTTAAACAGTAATACTGAAAATTTCAGGGATGTTTCCTAGCAACTGTGTTTCTCAGAAATGACCTTCCTGCCTCTTGGTTGAAACCATTTTTACTTTTGCAGATTTAGAAATATACCAGAAGCTTCTCAGTACAAGTGGGCAGATTTCTATCAGAGACAGGCTCCTAAGTGTTAGGTGGCATTACAGCTAATTTGCATTCCAGTTTTCCTCTCTTACATTCTAGCTGTTCGATCTCTTCAAAGTTTTAAGTATTGGCCAGATCGAAAAGTCTGTTCCAGACACTTATTTTTCAGTGCCAAACACAAATTTTTAGATGAAAAAATGTTTTCTCATGTTTTCTTTGTGCCGACACACATGCATTGAATCATGGAAAAGTTGAGACTGGAAAGAGCCTATGGAGGTCTCTAGTCCAGCCTCCTGTTTAAAGCATGTTCAGGTTCAAAAGGAGAGCAAGTTGCCCAGGGCTTGTCGAGGCACATCCTGAGGTGTTCCAGGAGCGGAGATTCCACAGCCCCTCTGGACACTGTGTCCCAGTGCTAACCCATAGCTGCTATCTACCTAGTTGCTCCCCAGCTTGCACCAGTGCTTGGGCTTGTTCCATTGCTGGTGCAGAGCTCTGCATGTGTAGTTGAGGAATTTCATGAGGTTCCTGCTGGCCTGTTCCTCTAGCTTGGCCAGTGATGCTTTTCTGAAAGGAAGCCCTACCCTTGAGCTATCAACTGGACCCCTCAAGTGGTGTCAACTGCAATGAATCTGAAGAAGTGAACTAAATTATTCAGAGGGATTCTTTGGTTTGTTTCTGTTCTTTCTTTTTTTTTTTTTTAGACTAAATGTTTCTAATCTTAGACAGTCCACGATACAGCCATAAGAACGTTTTTCTGAAGGCACAGAATATGGAGTAGGCAGAAACTGATACCAAAAGTAGGGAAGCTTGAGATAATTTCCTCTGGGGGCAGTGCTTTATGGAACCCTACTGTCAGATTGATCTATTTTTGTTTGGCTTGGTGTCTACAGTACTACTTTCTTTGTATGCCAGTCTCTGAAAGCAGCAGTTTTTAACAGTGTTTGCAGAAAACATTTTGGATGTTTCATTTGTTAGAAGTAGTTAGTGCCAATACATTTCTTGTTGCAGCCTAACTTAGAGACAAACCGCTTTGTCATTATCATAGAATGCCAGGTTGGTAGGGACCTCACGGACCACTTGGTCCAATCTTTCTTGGCAAAACATGCTCTAGACAAGATGCCCCAGCACCGTGTACAGCTGAATCTTAAAGGTGTCCTGATACAGGGCCAAGATAGGAACAGGGGATGTAAGGGTTAACATGAGAATAGCAAGAAGGGGATAATAGCAAGAAGGGGATAACAAAAGAAAATAGTTCAAGGGAAATAGTTTAGATAACGGTTAACAGTTCTGCTTAGTGAACAGACAGTTTGTAAAACACGGTGAGCTCTCTAGGCTTTATCAGTATTGAGCCGGTTGGAACTAGACCCGCGGTTTGGACAACAGCCAGTAAGAGACTGAGTCTGCGCAAAACCTGGGGTCACAGAGCGGACAGGAGGAAGAGGAGCTTGACTTCATCCCCAAAGACCCCCACGCCACCACCAGAAGACACTGCGCAGACTCAACTAGGAGGAGATTATGGAAATGCTAATTATAATACGAAGCGGGGATAGGTGTTGCATATGTATAGGCGTATTGCGAAATATTATGAATATGTAATCATTTGCTCTATAAATCTTAGGTAACAGCACCATACGTGGGGTACACAATAGGAGGAGTTATCCCCTGTGTACCTCAGCGCTGAATAAACATACCTACTTTACAATCTATCATATTGTGGAGTCTATTTCTGCACGTCAGTTTTGGCGAGCCAGGCAGGAGACTCTCTGCTCGACTACGGGATCGACTGCGGGGCGGACTCTCCCAGGCGCGCCCCGAGCACTTTCCTCGGAGGAGCCTCCGCTACCAGCCGCTCACCGTGGGGGGCAGACAAGGACTTCCTGAAGCCGCGGACCAAACGGTATGTTTAAGGATAGGAGCCTGTAAGTCGTACGCGTGGCTGGGGCAGCTGGTAAATCGCACAGAGACGTCTGGCGTGCAGCTAAGCCGGGTAGGTGCACCGAAAAGGCGCGAATTCGTGCGGGTTAGGGGAGTCTAGGGGGCAATTATACCTTGCCACAGACCGATAGAGCGGTCGCTGGCTCCAATCGGGGACCTGTTGGCCGAGAGGGCGGCCACAGGCAAGAGTGATTGAAAAGGCCTTTGTTCTGTTGTGTTTTTTGTTTTTGTTTTTTTTTTTTTTACTCCTGATGAAAGTGTTGTAAGTGTGTGGACGTCCGTGAGATTGTGAGATCGTGAGTGAATGCTGTGTGGTGATTGTGTTAAGTGTGAGCGTTTGGAGTGAGTGTTTTACAAAAACAAGATGGGTAATACTCAGGGAGGGATATTAAAAAAAGAGCCCTCTCGGCTGTATACTCGCCCATTGGCGGGATATTGCAGGGAGCGGAGGTACGGAAAGCAGAAAGACTCTTGTAAAATATTGCAATCAGTGGTGGCCGCTGTATAAGCTGGAGGATGGTGCTAAATGGCCGCTTAATGGAACACTGGACTATAACACTTTGTTACAACTTATGTTGTTTTTTAAGGAGAGAAGGAAAATGGGATGAGGTATCATATGCAGATATGTTTTTCACTTTGCGAAACCACCCAGAGTGGCAAAGGGACTGTGGGTTAGTACCCCCACAGGACCCTATGGTGCTCGCACTTGAACGAGAAAGTAAGGAAAGTAGGGTAAGCTAAAGAGGTGTTGCTCATCATGTAGTATTGGACAGAGATGTACAAAGGTGGATAAGGTGGAAAACTTCAGAAGCTGCGCCCTACGGAAAGTGGGAAGGCTTCAATGAATGTAAAAATAGCAAATGTAACAGAGGACTGACGGGGACCTGGGGGATCTACCCTGGTGGATCCACTGGTTAAACTTAAGCTGGGGAGAGAACAAGAAGAAGTAGAACTTTTGGTAGACACAGGAGCAACGTACTCTGTTTTGAATCAAGCTTTAATACCACTGGGGGACGACTCTGTTATGGTAAAGGGAGCGACCGGCCAATCTGAAAAGGCGTATTTTTGTAAACCTTTAGAGTATAAATTGGGAAAGCAATGGGGAATTCATAAATTCCTTTATATGCCTAACTCCCCAAAAGCTCTCCTGGGGAGGGACTTGCTGGAACAACTGGAAGCAAAAACTGTCTTTGAAAAAAGGGGAAGTCACCTTGGAGGTAAAAGATCAGCAGTACATTCAAGTGCTGAGTCTCACTCTAACTAGTTCTTCGTCAGGAGGAGAAATTAGTGAGGAAATTTTAGACCAAGTATATCCGGGAGTTTGGGCTACCAATGTACCTGGAAGGGCGAAAAACGCTCTACCGATTGAGATCAAGATTAAGGAAGGTCAATGACCGGTGAGAATTAAACAGTATCCTTTAAAAAGGGAGGATAGGGAAGGAATCCGACCGGTAATAGAAAAATTTTTGCAATTAGGGTTACTAGAAGAGTGTGAGTCTGAGTTCAATACCCCTATACTGCCCGTTCGGAAACCTGATGGGTCGTATAGGGTGGTTCAGGACTTACGGGCTGTGAATAAAATAGTTGAAGATCTCCACCCAGTGGTAGCAAACCCATATACCCTGTTAACTGTATTAACACCAGAGTTGATTTGGTTTACTGTCTTAGATTTGAAGGACGCCTTCTTTTGCCTTCCTCTCCATAAAGCCAGCCAAAAGTTGTTTGCATTTGAGTGGGAAAATCCTAAAACTGGTCGAAAGACCCAACTCACCTGGACGGTGTTGCCACAAGGGTTCAAGAATAGCCCTACTCTTTTTGGCAACCAGCTTGCAAAGGACTTGGAATCCTGGGAAGCCCCATCCGAGAAAGGAAAATTATTGCAGTACGTGGACGACATTTTGATCGCTACTGAGACAGAAGAGGACTGTGCAACGTGGACGGTGAGCTTGTTAAATTTTTTGGGACTACGGGGTATCGAGTCTCTAAGAAAAAGCCCAGGTGATACAACGTAAAGTAAACTACCTGGGCTATGAGATCACTGCAGGGCAAAGAACTTTGGGACAGTCCCGTAAGGAGGCCATATGTCAAACCCCAAAACCTCAGACAGTAAAAGAATTAAGAACCTTCTTGGGAATGACGGGGTGGTGCAGGCTATGGATCTATAATTATGGACTGCTTGTTAAGCCCCTGTATGCGCTAACAAACACCGAACAGACGCACCTCGAATGGGATGAGGAGGCTGAGCGAGCCTTCGATTCACTGAAGAAGGTTTTGATGTCGGCCCCAGCTCTAGGACTTCCAGATGTGAGTAAACCGTTTTTTCTCATGAGAAGCAGGGCATTGCCCTGGGAATACTGGCACAAGACCTAGGTCCATATCGACGAGCTGTCGCCTACCTCTCTAAACAACTAGATGCGACTGCAAAAGGGTGGCCTGGGTGTCTGCGAGCGGTGGCTGCCCTGATACTGAACATACAGGAAGCTCGGAAGTTCACTCTGGGCCAGAAAATGAGTGTCTATGTGTCCCATACAGTGTCGGCAGTCCTGGAAGCAAAGGGAGGGCATTGGCTCTCCCCACAAAGATTTCTGAGATACCAAGCTGCACTAGTAGAACAAGATGATGTACAGATAATAGTCACTAATATTATCAACCCAGCTTCTTTCCTCAGTGGTAACATGGGAGAACCAGTGCACCATGACTGCTTGGAAACAATTGAGGCGACATACTCAAGTCGCCCTGACCTAAAAGAAAGCCCCATGAAGGATGAAGAGAGCTGGTTCACGGATGGAAGCAGTTACGTCCTGAACGGTAATCGACATGCGGGGTATGCCGTTACCACCAGTCAAAAGGTAATAGAATCAGGACCTCTGCCTGCAAATACGTCTGCGCAAAAGGCAGAAATAATTGCTTTAACCCGAGCCCTGGAACTAGCTAAGGGTAAGATCATAAACATATACACGGACTCCCAAGTATGCTTTTGGAGTTGTGCATGCACATGGAGCAATCTGGAAAGAAAGGGGACTATTGAACTCCCAAGGGAAAAACATTAAACATGCGGAAGAAATTTTGAAGCTATTGGAAGCTGTTCAATTTCCTGAGAAGGTGGCAATTATGCATATTAAAGCACACCAAAAGGTGAGCTCTGAATTGGAAAAAGGAAACGAGCTGGCGGATAGGGAGGCAAAACGGGCTGCCAAAATAGAGATAAAGACTGAAGGAGCACTTATTCCCGATAGGCAAATTTCCTTAGAAAGTAAACCAGAATATACCAGGGAGGATCAGAAACTTATTGCAGATCTGGAAGGTACATATAACAAGGAAGGGTGGGCTTATACCCCACAGGGGAAGTTAATTATCCCCTCTCATTTACTATGGCATTTTACACGAGAGGAGCATAGAAAGAGACACTGGGGAGCAGAAGCTTTGTATAGTCATTTGATAAAAGAGATTGTAGCCAGGAATTTGTATACCACGGTAAGGCAGGTGACTCGACAATGCGACATCTGCCTCCGGACTAATCCCAAAAACGCCCCCAAACTAGAAATGGGTCAGATTGGGAAGGGCTGAGCCCCTTTGAAATTTTATATGGACAACCATACGGGTACAAAAAGGAATATCCACACAAATTGGAGATGAAATCATGAGCTCCTACATGGTGGCGTTAGGGAAGCAACTCAATAAGATCAGAAAACATGTAATTGGTATTCGAGGTAGAGGGTTGGATGGACCCGTACATGATATACAACCTGGGGACTATGTATATGTTAAGTCTCTTACAGAAAAAACCTTGGAGCCACGTGGGAAGGGCCATTCCAGGTGCTGCTCACGACGTTCACAGCCATCAAGATTAAGGAATACTCGGCCTGGATACATCATACCCGAGTGAAGAAAGCCCCTAAATCTCCATGGAAAGTTACCCAAGTTCAACCAGGAAGATTACGCTTCTCACGATAAGTCTGATAATCATTTTTCCTTTAATGTATAGTCAAAGGTTCAGTGAATGGCCATGGTCCCAGGCCCACATTGGGTATACTGGAAGTATGGGGATAGGCAGCACACACACAACTCTAAATTTGGCTACTACAGTTATACAGGGGATAAATGTGAGCTCAAAAGAAGAATGGAATCACACCTATCAAGGAGTACAACAATTGCAGGGAACATTGGGACAAGAAATTAAAATAGGATGCAGAGCAATTAATGAGTCTACTCACTGGGCAGCAAAACAGTCCCATGTTTGGGAATCCACCTCTTCCCCAGGGAGATTATTCCAATTATGATTAGGGGCACATGGTTGAAATTAGAGAAGAAAATGTTACAGGTTTGCAATTGCCTAAAAGTAAACAGAACTGCAATAGATCTCTCTGTAACTAGAGCAGAATATCGTTATGCATTTTTTATCTAGTGTTGTCAGTTAGATTGGAATGTATAATTTGCATGTGATCTATCTTCTTGTGACCATTTTGTTTCTCATCAGGAGAACTGGATCCAGAAGGAATGGGTTCAGGTATTCAGTATGGAGATGTTGCTTTGAGACAGCTGAGATCACTACATAGAGCACAAGCACAAAGTGCTCAACAATGTGGGTGTTAAACAAAACACAAAATCCCAAATACTTTAGACACAGAAGGTAAGGTTACAAAAATCTCAGGTTGTTGGGTAAATTACCATATTTCATAAATGTGCTGTGTCAAGTGCTTGGCTTTTTCACAGTTAGCCTGTAAAGTAACATAGAATCTAGTGAAATAATGCACAGTAGAATGGATTATTGTTTTATACTTTGATTTTTCTTCTGCCACCTGCCCACTAAAGCAAGACTAGTGCTCTTACTGAACTATTTCTAGATCTTTGCTTACTCAGAGTAACGCTGTGGAAAACACTTTAGAATTCTGTATTCCTGGAATGCATTATAGCCCTAATAGTTATCTAATGCACTATAGAGAAGGTGAATTACTTCTGTTGTATTGTGGACAAATATTACTAGAATTGAGAATTCACAAAATATATGGTGCAATATCTTGTCCAAAGCTATTATATAGTCTTTTCTGAAAATACCAAGTTTAAAGACTGAGACTTGAAATTAAAGGTAATACTGGATTTCAAACTTCAACTGTTTACTTTTTTTCCTACATAAAAGCAGCTTAACGTTGTTCTGATTCCTGTCTGCTATGAGCAGAAATGTAAACAAGAGAATAGTAGTATTTGTTGTTTAAGCAGACCTAAAGTAGCTCTTCTAGGGCTGTTGCAGCCCATCGAACGATGCAGTCTCCTAAAAGTCTTCCAAAGACACTCTTCAGAGCAAGTGAGGAACAGATCTTTCCCTCTAGTAAAGTGGTAAGGGAAGAGACATAAGTCACGTGACCTAATCTGAAGAACAGCTTGGTGGTTAGTCTTTCTCAAACAGTTGTCCTTAAGACACCTCTCCATGGATTTTACTTAACTCTTTGTAGTATGTAAGTGGTTCATGGGGACAGCCCTTTCCCCCTGTGTAGTTAATTATTTTGTTATAATTAATCCTTATTTCTCTATTATGAGGACGGTGATATCAAATTAAACAAGTACTGCAGGCATAGTTACTGCATCACTTTTACTGTATTCATTTTTTTATCAATTTGAGCAGAAGCTTTACAGGATGTTAAATAAGGCAGCATACAAGTCTGCATTCTCATATATTGTTCTGTATCTGTATAGCTCCCAGTTAAAGCTCAGAATTTTAAATAATGGATAGGAATCCTCGAACTGCTTTCCTCCCTTACTTTCATCCTATAAAATATCATCCTTCAATAAGAGACTGCTGGAAAGGGCATTAATTTAGTTCGGCTTTGGTACAGCGCTACAGGAGTGAATATTACTGATCTGATTTCAGGAATTGAGTTTTCACATTGATCAGATGTAGATAATTGATGGAGTTCTTGTGTATTTTACAGCTGTCCTTACAAATGGTGTTTGAAGAAATGGAAAAGCTTGAAGGCTATGCAGTTTTTAAAAATGTCTTTCCACTATCTACAAACAGAGCAAACCACTGCTGTCAGAAAGGTGGCCCGTGTGGTGTGGGGCAGGAGTGTCCACATGACACACAAGCCTGCAAAGTGAACTTGATGATTTGGTGGACAATGTTAAGACTCATACCTGTATGTAAACATTTTCCATTACCTGTTTTTGTTCTTTCGCCTCTAGTTTAAAGCATTGCTATATACTGTAAATAATGTAACAGTAAATTTACAAAGCATGGTATACTTACGTATGCTGATAGAATGTTGCACTACAAGCAGTTTAATATTTTATTTTTTTATCATATAAACAAATTTAACGGAGGTAGGCTTTGTCATGTTTGTTTGCTGCACAATAGTTTATGACCTGAATTATAAAACCACTGGCACTGTCAGTGAAGGGTGGTTGGTTTATTTTTTTCCTACTTAGTTTGCCACATTCTAACAAGCTGTTGACATGACTGATTCTCAACATATGGTTAGGACCCATACTTACGTTTATTAATATGTCAAGCTGAAAAGGTAATTTTTATTGATGTTCACATATCCTGTTTTATCACAGTTCTTAAATAGCTTTTGAAGTTCTTTTATTAAACTTTATTAAGTCTGTCAAATGGCTGTTGACTTTTTTTTTTTTCCCCTTGGTCCTGATGTTTTGTGTAGCACTGGCATCATGAAGGTAGATTGTATATGTGAACAGAACTGTGCATTTTTGCGTATGTTGTAATTCTAGGGCAGGGGCACGGGCTTATGGAGAATTACCACAGTAGGAGCTCTCCTAACCTCCTACCACACCGAGCAATCAGCTGTGGAAATATTATCTCTGTTGAAGCCTACGTAGTGAGGTACAAACTGAACCCAAAGGGTGATTCTAAAGTATCCTGAATGTATGAAATTTAAAATACTCATTTCTTTCTCTTAAAACTTTCATGAAGTACAATTAAGAACTTGAATTTTAAAATTAGACTTTAAAATTAGGAACTTAATAGGCTGTCTTGCTGGAGCTCTACCCTTGAATTTCATGGAAGTGCCCTATGTGTAATGCTGGCCACAGTGCTCCCAGGAGACTGATGTCATGGAAGGGAAAAAACAAGTGTACTACTTCAGTAGTTTGTTCTTCCTGTGAAACTCATCAAGGGAAGTTTTGGCCTTGGTACTGAGTTTTTTTTTTTTCCTGTGTTAAAACACACAATTCAGACTTTCTTTCCTGACCTCTTTTTTTATTGTGGGGAGGAGGCATGGGGCAAGAGATTAGGAAACCTGTTCTCATTCCTCAGCTGGAGACAGAAGAGGAGAAGACTTGCAGAGGGTCCAAGAGGGAGGACAGAACCGCAAGTATTGTGTATCATTTTTAGTGTGACATGACAACTGATCAGGTAAGAGACCCGTGGCTTTTCCTTTGTCAGGTAAGGAGCTGCAGCACTAAGCTCGTGTTTCTGGAAGTAGCTGAATTCAACCAGTTCAGGGGGGCAATTTCATGTGCACTGATAGAAATCAGTAGTGACATTTTTACTTAGTTACTTGTATAACTAGAAATGGGATGTGTCCTTGAAAGTGCAAAATAATTAATTTGATCAGAATTCAGTATTGAAATTCCAAGGTTAAACATGCTTTATTATTTTCTGTATATGAGTCTTTTCTATTTAGGTGTTTCTTGTCAAATGAATGTTTAAAAACTAAACCAGAAAACTTAACTGATACTGTAATTTAGAGGGCAATTAAAGCACAAGAGTGAAGCAAGAATGCTACACAGAGGTATGCCACCTTTCATGGAGTTAGAATTGTGTTTAAAACTATTCCCTTTGTCCTGACATTTTTGGCTCAAATGGATGCTTACCTGAAAACTATATGCCTTAGATCATCTCTGAATTGAAAGGAATTAAGTTTGCTTTATACTTGAAAAGCCTAGGTTTAGTTCTAGAAAGGCTGTTGGGTCCAAAGACCTTTATGTTATGAGTCTCTCAAGTATCCTGTTATATTTAGGGTTGGATTTGTTACATAACTGATAACAATTACGCCCAAGGAGTATTCACTTGTATGGTAAGAGCGTAAGTATTTTTGAAGCAGCTTAACTGTGCATTTACAATAATGTCAAAGAACTCCAAAGAAACTTACCTGTCTTAATCCTTACTCAACTTGCTTTGGCTTCTAGTACTCAGAACATTACCAAAAGCAAGTACTCTGCAGTAGATGGTGGATGTAGTTGTTCTCCACCAGTCCAAAGGGCATATTATTAACTGGGATGTGTTGTGTTTCTGCCAGGGTTGGGGAGGCTTTTGGTTCTGAAACCCCAGATTGTGGAATGCTGTGAAAAGATGAGGTAGTGGGTAGGCTGTCCCTGCCCTTACCACAGTCATTAGACTGTGTTTCTTGGTACACAGACAAAAGTGAAAGCTGAGGATGTACTTACCAGCTGGGACATAGCACAAGTAAAGCTAAAGGTGTCCCCTGTCACTTAAAATGGTTGAAATGGTGTTGGCTGTTGGATCAAAACTTCTTTCCATAAGTATAGTGACAGTTGAAAGGAGCTGGGGGACTGTTACTTAACTCGGTTGCTTTTAAATAAAAATTTTAGGGGATTGATAGGGATTCATGTACTTCTTCCTGTCCTTTTCCCTTTATGTACAAGACTGGCCTCTTTTGTATACTCTGTTCTTATGTTCATTTTGGTCAACTGTCTGTGGTTAAGAAGCTGTAAGCACAGTTTTATTCTTTCTGTAACCATATTAAGCTATCCCCTTCCTACCTGGAACGAAAGAATAGCGTTGCTGTAATGTGTTTGGACATGTTTTTACCTTTTTTTTTTTTTTATTGTATACTCTTACTGTATACACATTAACCAGGTTAATGTGCTTGTTTTGTAGAATCACAACCTTTTATGCTGCATATCTTACATTTAAAAACAAAAAACTTTCTAAAATGGCAACTCCTGAGGAGAATATTGTTGGAAGCAATAGCTCTCACCAGTGCAAACTATATTGTTTACTTTCTTCTCTGAGGGTTTTTTATTTCTAAAAATACCATGCCAATAGCAGCCCTGGAGTAGATTTTAAGCTTTAGCATTAGAGTTCACACAGCAAACCAAATCTAGCTCACCTAAACAGTAAATAAGTGATAAATAGGTTAAATTATGTATGTTTTCAGTGTAAAGTTCTTACTTTACCAAAGCAAGATGGCTTAGAGTTTTACATGAAATAATACCAGGTACCTATATCCTAGTGTAAGAAACTATGAACTAGGGTATTGTTTATTGAAATGTATGTTAAGCTCAATGTAAAGGTTAGGCGGCAAAAGACAGAAAACCGCTTATGCAAACAGCTGCCAGACACCTCTTGTGTGAGACAAGATAACCGCAATTGCTTACACAAACCAGATAGATACCGCTTGTGCAAGCAGAAGGGGTACTGATCAAAGACAACCACGGATGTAAAAATGTATAAAAAGGAACTGTTTGAACTGATCAGTGCGGCAGTTGGCGGAGCGCAGACTCCCCTGCCGTCCAGCGCTGTCTTTGCTCATATTCTACTTGCTATAATTAATAAAATTATAATTGGATTATGATCCATTGTGGTCTCAATTTATAACACAATCATCCAAGGGAATCAGTTGCATCAGCAACAAGCACGAGGTGGCTGGCACTTTGTATCTGGCTACGACTGCACTTAAAACAGTATGAAGTATCACAAAAGGTTCCGCATACACAGTAGCTTCTGGGCACATTTTTGCCTGTTCCCAGGCCAAAAACAGCAATATAGAAATCTTCTTCACAACAGCTATCTTTGCCCCAGCCTTGGGTCTACAGATGGGGTACTTGTGGGCAAACTTGCTATGAAAAAATTCACCTTTGATTGGACTCAGCACCGATGAGAAGCTTTCAGATGCTGTAAGCATCTCACCCCGGGAGGTATTAACAGGACATATTTGGAACAGAAGTTAAACACAACTGCTTATAGTAGCAGCTCCTTGACTCCTTGCTGATTCTCTGAATCCTGGAAACATTGTTAAAAGAACATACTTGCCTATTCCTGCAGCAATGACAGGCAACACCAAGTCATACGTATATAGCAAATAAGACAGCATCAAAAGTCTACATAGCTTCGGTGACTGGGCAGTAGAACAACTGGATGCTCCTGAATGGCGTGTTGCAACTGAAAAAACAAAAAACAAACAGCAAGAACAATATTGTTCCAATATTTACAGACTGACTGTTGAAATTTGCAAATACAGAACTTCACAGGGCTTAAGGCAAACAGAAGCTGATTTGTTCAGGGGTGGTTTCTCTGACCACATACTCCATACCTTTTTCAAAATGGAACCATAGGAAATTTGCAGCAGTTGTTTCCAGACTAGCAACTTGTGGTTCACAAGCATCACAGGACTCAAAAGCCAGGGCCACCCCATTACATGATAGTCTAACTCAAATCCCTTTTGATGGGGATGGGAAACCCAATAAAGGCTCTCAGGGCTGACTTTGCTGTCTTCCAGGGAATGTGCTGCACCCGTCAGAACAGCTGCATTCTACAGTGAAACAGGGAGACAACAGCTCCCTAGCAAACTGAGGCAAACTTAAAGCATCTCCTGCCTCAGAGGTGCACAATGTTTCACCACTCTTAGCTGTATGAATGTTTTGCAGAACAACCAACCCAGTCAGTCACATAACATTAGGTTTTCACCTCCAATTCAGCTAAATGCATTATTAAATGTATAGTGTCAGATAGAAAAACTCTCAGTGGCTGATCTAACAGAATTGCTGACACACGGTATTCCTCACCATAGGAAGCATTTGGAAAATGTACAAAGTCCTGCTGACTGTTTGCCTCTAAAATACTTATGTATAATTTTTTCTCCTACACTTATTAAGAAATGCAATAATAAACAGAAGTGCAGTCTTTTTTTTCAAAAGATATTTTTCATATTTGTTACCTGGAGTGAAGATTAGAGTCATTGGCCAAGTGACTGGTATGAAAATATAACTTTTTTTTTCCCCACCAGTACTCACTCTCTGCATTCCTTCTTCATTCACACAAACTCTCTGGAAAAGCTGTTTAAATATTTTGCTCAACGTAAACGCAAAAAATCTGACAGCTCCTAATTGCATACTGTGGCCCATCTCATCCAAGATTTCCATGGCTTCTTCTTGAATAATATCGGGTGATTCTCCCATCTCTCTTGCTAACTATAGAGAAACAAAACAAAATAGCAGTCAGATGGTTTTCCCTTCTCTTTACCCATGCACACCATTCTATGTGCCATAACAATTAAGGCAGAGCTATTGCAATAGTCAGCAAGATTTTACTTTATGTGATAGGTATGTATCTAATCATAGAGAATCTCTTCAGTTTCAGACAACAAGAGAAAGACAAGCTAGAGCTGTTCAAAATCAAGAATGAGCTTAGGTGCCAATGGCAGGGAGAGAGTGTGCAACAATCCGCACACACCCCCCCCCCCCCCGCCAAAAACTATCTGAATGTTTTCCCTTGTAACATCTTCAGAGGAGATTTAAGTTCAAATAACATTTCCTGTATCATTGATCTGAAGAAGGCCGTCTGCAATTTTGACTAGTAAAATGAAACTTACGTTTGCAGAGATATTCACAATAAATCTCTGAAGTGCACTTGCATTAGATTTTAAGATTTGGCTGAAGAACCTTAGCCCTATCATGCTTCAATTTCTTTGTAATGTATTACTTTGGCAATGGCTAGCTGAAACGCATGCAAAGCACTGTTTCTACCAACTTTGCATCTCAATGATCTTTTTCCTGTTGCTATGCGCATTCGCTTTAGATGTTTCTTAAAAAACAGATTTAAACAATGGTCATCATTCCTATTTGATCCATTGAAGCTAGAAATACTTAATTGAAAAGTTAACTGTTACAAAATGACTAACATGCCTTGTACTGAACACAGAAGAGGAAAGAGGAGGAATGGCAGAAGAAAAAAAAAAGCAGCAGTTCAGAAAAAAACATCACACCAATTTCTTTCTGTCAAATCCTATGTAAAATACTTATTTTCAGTAAATGTTTTAGTGTTTCTGAAGTTGAAAGATTCATTTTTTTAAATTTCATATTACTTTGCAATTCATGATGGCAACAGCACTACTTGGTAGGACATGGTTTAATTTGTCACATCGTAACAGGTTTTGATATATCATGGGTAACATTGACCATTAAAAAAAAAAAAGAGAAAAATGTTATGGTAGCCACTCACTCAGGACTAATCAAGACATCTTATATAGTTCTACTGACCTGGAATTATTTTTCATGAATACTGAAAATAGTTACTCTGATAACTAACACACACTCTTATTTCAACACAATGTAAAATATGAGCCAGTTTGACTATAAAGTATTTTATTCATTACAAAGTAGTAGCTGCCCTTCATTTTAAAGCAAAAATACGGTTACATCTTAGACAATGTTTCTAACTCAAAGAATTCTCTGTGAAATTTAATGCTCATTTTAGAGAAAGTAGCATTTATAACTGATTCATAAATACATCATTAGCCTATAAAATTCCTACAAGACATCTTCAAAGCACAAAAAGTCTACTAAGAAGGAGAGTGCTTCCATCTTTCACAATCCTGATCTGTAGTGAGGACTATGGAGGAGAGGGAAAAAAAAAAACAGTCAAACACATATGCACATTAAGTAAGTTAGATGGTGAAGTGTCATATATGCAAAATCAAAACATGATTTAATGAATGAGCTATCTAACAGCTTTAGTGGTAACTCCATGGTAAATCAGTATCTGTTTATCTGTTTTTGCTGCCAAAAGAGTATGGCTCTCGACTTACTGATTTATTGGACCATCTTTCTAAACTTCAGCTATCATGTTTGACAAGGTCAGCAATAATCTTTTTTTCCCTGCTGTCACACAAAGCTTGGCTGTGTTCAAAGTACCTCATCTTACAGCTCAATGTCCAGACTCACCTGCTTGATAACATATTGAACTTGCTCTGACTGGAGAACAGCATTTTTAATAGCATTTGGCTTGCAAGGTGAAAGTCCCTTGTAGATCACAGGAGTGTAACATTTCATTGTATCTCAAGTTGCTGGACAATCGCCTTTCCTCCAAGATATCTTCAAACTCATCTCTTTTCTTTGACATGAGCTCCTTCTGCTGGGAACACACAAATAAAGAATGAGACACTGTCTCGAGCCATTCAGTGGTCTGCTTGGCTACAGTACCAAAATAACGGCATGCAATAGTTTTGCAATGTTTGGGGTTTTTTTTTAGCTTTCTATAGTGTCTGCATTCCACACCCTGAATGCATGAACAAAATATTACCTGTGTAGAACAATGCTACAGAAAGAAACTAAAAAGAAAAGGAAAAAACAAAACAAAACAAAACAAACAACAAAAAACCCCAACCCTTTGAAATCACAAAGATCCCCAAATCACCCTATGCCACGTTACTTAATTCTGCCCAAGAGGAAGAAGTTGAGAGAACACCTGGGCTTTGAAAGCTAAAGTGCCTTGCCTCAAGCCTCTCTATGATTAATAGGTATTAACTAAACCACCTTTGATTCCAACTCTCATAGCTGCATGAAGACAACGCCATAATGACATTATAAAAACACAATCATCAACACAAAAAAATAATCCCTGTTACTTCCAGTTGCATCCGGCACTGTAGTGATTTGTGCTGGCTTTCACCAGGCTTGGACATAAGGTACATAAACCACAGTCAGACAGGAACAAAAAAACAAAAACAAAACAATTATCAGCCATGTGAAGATAAAAATGTTATATGCTGCACACGTAGGTAAAAGAGAGCACAGCCTCTGAGTAACCAACACCACTGCTAGGCAGGAAAACAAACAGGTACATCAAGAACTAATTGGGGATTGTAAGAAACTATGAACTAAGGGTATTGTTTATTGAAATTTATGTTAAGCTCAATGTAAAGGTTAGGCGGCAAAAGACAAAAAAACTGCTTATGCAAATAGCTGCCAGACACGCTTGTGTGAGACAAGATAACCTGTGAGACAAGATGACGCGTGAGATAAGATAACCGCAATTGCTTACACAAACCAGATACTTGTGCAAGCAGAAGGGGTACTGATCAAAGACAACCACGATGTAAAAATGTATAAAAAGGAACTGTTTGAACTGATCAGTACGGCAGTTGGCGGAGCGCAGACTCCCCTGCCGTCCAGCGCTGTCTTTGCTCATATTCTACTTGCTATAATTAATAAAATTATAATTGGATTATGATCCATTGTGGTCTCAATTTATAACAATTTTGGTGCCGTGACTCGGATAAGGAACGGTGGGCTTCTGTCCTCCGGGGAGGCGCCCCGCGGCAATCCGCGGCCCCGCGACTGATAGCCCACCCCATCCTTACCGACGAACCTAAATTCTAGAATAATGAGCAAAGGAGAAACCGGTAAAATCCCATAAAAATTCTGTGCACGGGAGTCCGGACGAAGACGCAGGACGCGTAAGTATATTGCGATTTGTTCGCGGGTTTACCGTTCGGGCGGGATTGGGTTTCCTGGATTATAGCGAATGAGAGGTTCGATATACTGAACCAAGCGAGTGCGGACCCTTAAGTACTGCGTTTCCCATCTCCCGCGAGGGACTGGGCCAGGAACAAGGGGAGCAAGTGAGTGTGTGTTTGTGGATAATCCAGAAGATGGGGGCGAAGGGCAGCAAGCCTTCGACTCCCATGGGAAGGGTACCCACTGTACCTAAGAATACCCCTCTGGCATATATCTTAGACAATTGGAGATATTTCCCTGGAACACTAGGGAAAGATAAGCAGAAAATGATAGAATATTGTACTAAGATATGGGGAGGGAAGAAGATTTCTAAAAATGTCTTTTGGCCAGTCTGCGGGTCAGAAGAAGATTGGATAAAGGCAACAATTAAATCTCTGGGTTAATAAAAAAACCCCTTAACCCAGAAGAAAGTCAGTATGCGGAGTGTGGCTAAAAAGACGGGAGCTAGACTTTACCCGCTGAATGAAATAAAACTAAACAAAAGAAAAAGAAGGAAGGTTAGACGAAACCCTTCTAACCCCCCCTCCTTACATTTCCCCTCCTGCTCCCACAGCCCCTCCAGAGGTCCCCAGAGCGCCCACTCCCCCACCGGAGTCGGAACAAGAGTCTCCCCCTCCTCCTAGACGTGTAACTAGAAGCCAAAAAGGGGCAGCTCAGATGTACCCCCTAAGGGAAATACCCATGGGGGGACCTCAACCCGTGATCGGATATATTTCCGTACCCCTAAACTCGGCTGACCTACGAGATTTTAAAAGAACCGAGATGGGAAACTTAATTGAGGACCCACTCGGAGTGGCAGAAAGATTAAATCAATTTTTGGACCAAACCTTTATACTTGGGATGAGATGCAATCTATCCTTGGTCAATTATTTACTACCGAGGAAAGAGATATGATTAGACGAGCAGGAATGAGACTGTGGGATGCTCAACATGCCCAGGGACCTCAAGCGGATATTAAATGGCCACTCCAAAGACCTAATGGGATAATCAGGATCCGGTGCATAGAACTCATATGCAGGACCTGAGAACTATAGTAATTCAGGGAATTAGAGAAGCAGTACCCTGTGGCCAGAATATTAATAAAGCATTTAATGAAATGCAAAAGAAAGATGAGAGCCCTACTGAGTGGCTGGAACGACTGAGGAAAGCCCTTCAGCTGTATTCTGGGGTAAATCCAGACGACCCTTTAGGGCAAGCACTCCTCAAAACTCAGTTTGTGGCAAAATCATGGGAAGATATCAGAAAGAAGATTGAAAAGTTAGAAGACTGGCAGAATAGAGGGTTGGATGAATTATTGAGAGAAGCTCAGAAAGTCTATGTGTGAGAGAGAGAAGAGAGCAGCAAGCGACAAGTAAAAATGATGGTAGCAGCGGTCAGAGAGGATCGTAAAGGACGAACTGGTGAACACAGATCTGCTGGAACGAAACAAGGGAACGTAGTAGTAAAGAAGGAACAGAGATGTTGTTTTTACTGTGGAAAGAAGGGACATATAAAGAAGAATTGCAGAGAAAGGATCAGGGATGAGGAAATATTGAAAACGGAATAGGAGAGCCAGGGGCTCTATATCTTAGGGGACCGGAGTCATCATGAGCCCTTGATAAAATTAAAAATAGGTCCCCATAAACAAGAGTTCACCTTTTTAGTAGACACTGGGGCTGAAAAATCGACTATTAAACAAATACCTGAGGGATGTAAAATTTCCCCGGAAAAAGTACAAGTAATTGGGGCAAAAGGAGAACCATTTAAAGTAAACAAAATCAAAAATGTGGTATTCGAAACTGAAAATAAATTTGGAATGGGTGAACTCTTGCTCGTCCCTGAAGCAGAATTTAATCTGCTAGGACGAGATTTAATTGTTGAATTACAATTAGAAATTAAAGTGAAAAATCAAGAGCTAACAGTGTCTACTTATCCTTTGACCGTGGATGAGCAAAAACAAATTAACCCCGATGTCTGGTACTCTCCGGACACAATTAGTAGACTGGAAATCCCACCGATTAAAATCCAAGTTTCTGAACCCCACATACCTGTGAGGGTAAAGCAATATCCCATTTCCCTAGACGGACGGAGAGGATTAAAACCAGAAATTGATCGATTATTAGCACAAGGAATCTTAGAGCCTTGTATGTCACCCTTTAACACCCCCATTCTGCCTGTAAAGAAACCAAATGGGAAATATCGGCTCGTACATGATTTAAGGGAAATCGTTTAAGGGAGCACGGGGCGGCTAGGGTTAATCCCTTGCGGGGAAGTCCCAGCGGCAGGAATTCAAGGGGGGATGGGATTTGTGGATGTGCCGCTCACTAATGTAGAAGTGAGGGCGTATAAGAATGAATTTAGGAGGTTATTAGAGGACCCTGTGGGGCTGTCAGAGAAGACTGATCAATTTTTGGGACCCAGTATATATATACATGGGAGGAGATGCAGTCGATTACGGGAATTTTTTTCTCTCCTGAAGAAAGACAGATGATCAGAACGGTTGGAATGTGGATATGGGAGAGAGAAAATCAGCAGGGGATACCCGGGGAAAGGAAACTCCCTGTAACCCCTCTGCAGTGGAATCAGAATGAACAAGAGCGGAGGAGAGATATGAGTGACTCTAGGTCATTATAATAAGAGTCTGGAGGAACTCCTGAGAGAAGCACAGAAAGTAGATATTAGGAAGGATGAAGAAGAGGCTAAAACTAAAGCTAAAACTATGATAACTGCACAAGAAGCTGTTAGAAACAAACACAAGGAATCTCAGACAGGAAATCAAATTTGAAACAGGCAAGGGAATGAAAGGGAAGGCGGAACCAAGAGGCACCACTGGCTAGGGAAATCACAAGGGAATGTTTTCATTGTGGGAAGGGGGGGCATTATAAACAAGAATGCCCCCAGAGAATACGGGACCTGTTGGTGTTTGAAGTAACCCAACAGGATGAGGGTGGTAATCACTAGGGGTGTCAGGGACTCTACCTCCTGGGGGATATACCAACAGAAGAGCCCTTGATAAATTTGAAATTAAGACCCCAGGAGGAAGATTATGTAAAAGATACAACTTGGGCTGTAGGGGCTAAAGGTGAAGGGGTTTTGGTCCCAGTTATAAAGAATGTGTTAATACAAGGGGAAGATCAATATGCTGTTAATGATTTGTTGTTAATGCCAGGGGTAGGATGTAATTTGCTAGGTAGAGATTTACAAGTGCAATTAGGAATAGGTGTGGTGCTGGGTGAAGGAAAACTAGTGGTTAAATTACTAGAATTATGGGAGGAGAATCGGGGAGGATATTTAGGAACCAGAGCATAACTGTTTGGATTTTATAAATTATCAAACGAAAATAAGAGAAGATCTGTTAAATAAACCTTTGCCCTATAGAGAAAAACTATTTATTGATGGGTCCTCTCGATGCCTAGAAGGAAAAATATTGGGTTATGTAATTATCGAGAGGCAGAAGATGGAAGTGTTTGAAAAGGGGAAATTACCTGCTGGGTGGTCAGCACAAGTCTGTGAACTCTATGCCCTAAAACAGACATTGGTATATTTGAGAGATAAG